ATTCTTTCATACGAAATGCGTGGAGGATCGAGGTAGTCGTGACGGAAGATGACAGCTCTTGCACGCTTTACACAGACGCACGCGGCAATGAGTTTGCCGTCCACTGGCACAACTGGTTGCAAGCGGGTTGCACGCGGCTCGTATAGCCTATTTAGATATCTCAGATCTCATATCTGGCTTGTCTGCTGTGCACTCAAGGTGTAGCTGGTACGCTGTACTACGTTCAGGCTAGGTAAACGCCCGGGCTAGAGGCTCATCGGAGAGTGAATGGGAGGTGACTCTGGAGGGAAATACTGACAGTACTACACCATTCGACAGTGCGTGCACTGCCACGTCTACCGTTGAGAGAGATTTGCAGTCAGTCCCATAGAAAAACCATGTCAAAACTTCATTTTTCAATTGGATCCGGTCCTCATGAAGTGGACCTCGTTCATTGCGGCCTTTCTCGCGCGGCACGAATGCGCCATCGATGAGCTCCATCGTCTGTTACCCTCTGCGACCACGCTCTTGGAGGTTGTGGACAGTCTACTGGTGCGCTACGTCTGCTGCACGCTGGTCCTCCTCGGCAGCGTCTACGTTGTGAGCACCCGACTACCCCTTCTCACGTACGCTGCAGCCTTTTATATGAGCGTCTCGGGTCTTGCCTTGGCCCACGCGCTGGAAATGCCCGGGCAGTACGAAGTCGTTTTGGCGCCGCTCGTGGCCGCAGTCGCCGGCTCCCACCCACGTCTCACCCGCCTTGGGTCGGTCCTGCTCTGGAGCGCCACCATGTGGACCCAGCTCTACGCGTCGACATTGCCGGCGCTGATGAAAGATGCAGTCGCAGAAGCACACAGTCTCTTCGTCATGCCCTCGCTCTTCCGTGGTGAATTTACAGATATCCTTTTGAGCTTCGCAGGGCCCGGCATGCTCTTCTTCCTCTGTATCTGTCTCATTGTTCTGTGACGCACACAACGGCCAAAACTACCGGTAACCAACAGTCGAGATTTTCGAGTTGGCCATCGAATGTGTGCCACACATAACAAGTTGCTATTTTCATATTTTTTATTGTTAGTTGATGCACACCATAACTGTTATAATGGCAATCTTGCTTCAAGCGGTCCAGAGTGATAGGTCTAGAGTTCAGTTGAATAGACACCACCAGTGTGAGTGATTCATGTGACAGGAAACACATGTGATGCATGTGATGGCTGCCAACGGCACTTATGGAGCATTTGGAGAAACGCCATCGAGCCGCGCATCGGCGATCACCTTTTACAGTACAGTACCAGTACATAGCAGAAATCCTTCTACTGTAGTAGTATGTGGTCCTTTCTCACGTGCGGATGCTGTACTAGCTTGCTATAGTTGCAGTGGCGATTCACCGTTTCACCAAGGGTTAATCGAATGTATGCTTTGAATGAAAGAAAAGCAGCTTGGCAGGTGGTGCAACTTGCTCACTAGTAGAGGTGTTGCTCTCCTGATGTGTGGGCTGTGAGACTCGAGTGGAGATACTAGTATGAACAATTGGGCGATAGCAACTGTCGTGTGCTCAGCAGTCTTGTTGCAACAAAAAGCCAGATTTCCAATACACCAGGTATGGACACGACAAGTCAAACCTTGTTACTGTACACAGCCACGGAATGCTCATTGCAACGCTACGGTAGAGCATAGTTCGTGTGTAATGCTGGTTTGTTGTGTTTTATTTATTGTGGCGTACCATGTATGCGGGTAACATGCCGCATGATTGTCGCTACAGTAGCAAATGGCTCCGAACAGTCGTCATGTGTGCCCACTGCAGTGAGCCCTTTCTAAAACTCTACTAGCACAGCTACGGGTATCGGTCACCACGTTAGAAATCGATACAGTCCGATTGATTTAGCTTTAACTACGCATCTTCACACATTCCAGATACTCGTACAGAGGTCGCCACCCAACTGGATCCCGACTGCACTGTCGATCGATTGGCAAGACGCCTAGTCATATGTCATCATCGCTGCCTTGTGCCGCTTCTCAGAACGCCTGGTCGCATACGCATCGCCGATAAAATTCTGCAGCTAGTTTGGACTTGGTTGGTCAACAAATCAAAATGAAGTCGCCCCCAGATGGGTGTAGTCCATGTATGTACAAAGCAGATGCTATCAGTGGCGAATTCTGGGCGCCAAGGACAGCAAGGTACCACACAGCTGTTCTGGGCGTTTTGCACGAACGATGACCAACGAAACGTAGCTCAAGAGACTTCGACGGTACGTGTGCGCGAGCTACCCAGGCAAGCCCACCACTGTTTGACGCCCTGCTCATATGCAGCGCGATCTCCCACTCCAACTATTCCATATTTAAAAATTGAAGTGCCCCCACCGCTTCGTGCGGCCGTCTCAAAGTACCTCGTAAAGATGTGAGGGTGTAACTGGAATGCATCACGACTTTCATCATGTAGCCTCAACACTCCCGTACGAACGTGCTTCGCATGAGCCTGGTGTTACGTGGACTTGGCATACGCAGAGACTAGCGATCCCCTTCTTCTTCTTCTTCACTCGCTCACTGGGCCGCTGCACGTCGACCGCGTCGGCTGTCCTACAAAAGGTGATCGCCGGCTCGTTTGCATTCCTGTCGACGCAACCACCGTTGGTTGTACTCTCCACAAAGCGCATGTTTTTCACAGCACATGTGTTGTCTGTCACAGGATCACTCACACTGGCTACATGTGGTTGTCTGGACTCTGCGCCTATCGCCATGGACCGCTTGTTGAACCTAACGACAACATCCGGCGCGTACCCTTAGACAGGTCCACATAACATGCGTGCGTGCATAAACGGGCTGCCGCCTCGGGAAAATTACACCAACCTCGCGCATTTCGTGGCTCTTAACCATTTCCCATTTCACTTCCTCTCGTTCAATTCGAATCATGGTGGCTGTCCCGACGCTCCTCTCGCTCGCGCTTCTCGTCTCGGCCGTCTCGGCGCAGTCGACGCCGTCGTGCCCGCCCCGCGTCCGCAAGTCGTGGAACCGCTACTCGGAGACCGAGAAGGCCACGTACAAGAAGGCGGTCGCCAAGGCCATGGACGACGCCGGCTCTACGAGCGGTTCATCTCGATGCACTCGGAGCAGATGAGCAACAAGGAGGCCCACGGCACGTGCGTCTTTCTCTTCTGGCACCGCAAGTTCCTTCTCGGCTACGAGAACCTCCTCCGCAGCATGGGCCCCGAGTACGCTTGCGTCACGCTGCCGTACTACGACTACGTTCAAGACAACGTCGCGTACGGCGCTAAGAAGTGCACGAGCATCGAATCGTGCTCGTCCATTTTGCGCGATATGGGCGGCTCGACCGGCGTCGACAAGTCGATCCCGATTGGCCGCTACACGGTCGCGGGTCGCTGCGTCGCGAACGAGCCGGTGAACCATTTTTGCGAGTCGAAGGCGAGCTGCGCCAAGTGCGTGCCCCGGGGTCCGTGGTCCACGACGACGTTCAACCCGGACCTCGGGTTTAGCAACATCAAGAACCAAGTGTTTGGCGGCAAGGACATCGCCGCGACGACCCGCCTTATTGAGTCGACGCCGCACAACAGCATGCACGGGACACTCGCAGGCGCCATGAACAACGTCTTTATCTCGCCGACCGAGCCGGTTTTCTACTCGCACCACGCGATGGTGGACGCGCTCCATACGATTTACCACAAGTGCCGCGTCCAAGGTCTTGGTCTGAGCCCCGCGCAGAAGCAGGTGCACGCCATGTCGTTTGCCGGCTGCAGCGCCAACGGCGGTGCGATCACAGCCACGTCGGCCATCACGATGCGCGCCGTCGTCAACGGCAAGACGGTCGCCGTCGACAGCGAGCCGAGCGTGCAAGCGTTTTTCAAGGGGCTGCCGTCGGCGTACTATGGCCTTGTGGACGCCAACGACCTCGGCAGCAACAGCTACGCCTACGAGTTTACGGGTCTTCTCGGGGACCTCTACACCAACTGCCAGACCTCGGGCACGCCTCGCGCCGCGACCCGCCGCCTGGTCGACGGCGCCAATGCCACGACGACGACGACGACGACGGTGACCAACACGGTGGTTCCGATCGCCGACAACTCGGCGGCGCAGGCGCTCCTCAACTGGCGCCTTGACGTCTTTGCCGCTGCACCGCGCGACATGGCCGACGCCGACGTCGAAGCCGACATTGTCAAGATGCGGACGCTGTACTACGAAAACTGCCTCAACGGCGTCGCCGACTACAGCTCATCGTTCAAGGCGCTCTGGAAGGTCGGGTCGAGCCCGTCGACCAAGGTGCTCAACGCCGTGTACGACCAGTCGAGCCCGATCCGCATTCCTGATTGGCAAACCATCAACTCCAAGCACTTTGGCTGCAGCGGCGAGCCAACCAAGTAGAATAGATTTGCATTTTAAAGAAGCATGAATGATAACAACTGCATTTACATATTGAACATTGTGTTGTTGTCTTTTCCATGACGTGGCGCTTGCATGCGTAACAAACAGGAATGGATCCTTCATGGGCTTTACGCTTTCGACTAGTTCAAGGCGCATCATGAGATGCCAATGCGTGCAAGCATGGAAACAATACTTCAAGAAATGGCGCGGAACAGCAAAGGCATGCCGACGAGATCGGGTGCATCGGCGGGCGAGTGCTGGATAGCAGCAGCGGCGGCAAAACAACGTCGTACTGCTACTCGGACGACCGTCGACCACCTCCGGCACAATGGCCTGGGCCAACACAGTAGAGGAAGCAAACCGAGGTGCCGGCGACCAAAGACGGTGAAGACGAGACTGGGGCTCCTCACAGGAACGCTACATGTGCCATCGTCGTAACCGGTATCAGCGTCGCGTCAACATCGGCGTCAGCGTGCGTCAACATCGTCGGCGGCGGCAGCGCAAAAATTGTTGGCATCAGGAAATGAAAGTCTCCGGATGAGTGAAGAAATCCTTGGAAACCATACGCGAGCCCCAAAACCCTCACGATATCATGCGAGTCATGGCAACGTGGGACAAGGCACGCGTCAATCTCCTGCCCAATACCCTGTATGAAACGACGACACTCCGCGCCATTGCGTTGTCATTCTTCTGTATAGAGACCACCCCAACTGGCGCCGCCTCTGCAAATGGCCTCCGCTCTAATTTTATCCGTAGAGCCGGAACCACCTCGCGCACTCATGTCGCGCACTGCACATTGGCGCCGGGAAGAAGCGTCGCGGCAAGAAGCTCCGCGGCAAGATGTAGCTCCAGATGTAGCTCGTTGCGACCAAGGGTACATAAATTCAATTGAATTTATGTACCCTTGGTTGCGACTACGCACTGAGTCGAGCTCTGAGTCGCCTGCGTGACCGGTTGCTCCTCTGGCGACACAAGTCGACGACCTTGGCCGGCAAGGCCATCATATTGCAAGCGGTCTGCCTACCGGTCCTCTAGTACCAGCTCGCGTGGGTCGCACCAGACACCGCGACGGCCGCAATCATCGACAAAACGATCCTCCAGTTCGTCAGCGACGAACCGCCGGTCATCGGCGCGGGTGCGCAAGGCCACCGGCTCCTCCATCAAAGTATCGCCTTCGCGCCAAAACATCAAGCCGGCCTCGGCCTCAAGCCGGCGCTTGTTACGTGGTCAGCGCGTCACCGTGGCCACTCGCTACGCTACATGCAGGCCGCGCTCACGACGTCCCCGGTT